AGTCGCTTCCGCTGGCCCGTGCTGCGGGGGTAGGGCCCGCAGCCCTCCCCGCCCCGGCCTGCACGGGCGCCCTTTCTCTTGGCCGGCCTCCCGTTCCTCCGTCAGCCGTGGGGAGGGGCCAGGTGGAGGCCTTGTGCTCCAGGACCCACGCAGGGCTGGGCGGCCGCGCGGTTTCTCTTGCATTCCAGGGGCTCTTACTCACGTGTGGAACGGGGGGGTCCAGGTGGCCCCAGGGCTGGCTGGGAGAGGATCCTGGGCTGGCCACCCCTCACCTGTCCCAGCGGGACTCCTGTGGGTGTGTCCACGGCCTCGAGGGCCAGGCGTTTCCTTGTTCATCACTCGTCTGTGTGGAGGGCGGCTGGGGAGGTGGGCAGTTATGGTGGGAGAATCTGGAGGGGCCTCAGACCACAGGGGCCCGGCCCTTCGACCACCTCTAGCTGCAGGTCCACAGCGGAGGGTTTGGGGGCCCTTGCTCTGGCTGCCAGCCCCCCACCCCTGCTCCCCAGCCCCGCCCCCACCGTGTCCCCCTGTCCCCAGGCCCCTGTCTAATCCTCCCCACACAACCTTGCACACTGCCCCCTGACAGGGGCTGCGGGAGGCCCCTGGTCATTTCTTCCCAAAGTGACAACTGGCTTTTGTCAGGCAGGTGGCGGGCCCTCCGCGGCGCCCCTCCCTCCGCATTCTGGTTAGGATCTGACTGCATCATGGCCACGTTTGCATCTGGGCCTGGGGAGGCCGTGGCCGGTGGGTAGTGACCTGGGGCGGAGAGCGCTGTGACACCCATCCAGCCCCACAGCATCTAGGCCGCTGCTGCCACACATCCTGACCGCAGCTTGGAGGACACGCACCTCTGTGGCCGGTGGGAGGGGGCCCAGCCCCGCCCAGCCCGGCCCGGCCGAGACACAGCAGGCCTCCCTGGACAGGGCATGAGCCCCACCTGGGCACATGCTGGGCCGAGAGGCGGACCCTCACCTAAGGCAGGTGTGGCTGGAACCCCAGGACTGAGGTTCCGGGGACCCAGGTTCTGGATCCATCAGCCGGGGCAGGAGAGCCACGGCCTCCCTTCCGCACCTCCCGCCTTTATTCTTCTTTGTTCCGAAGGTAACAGGCTTTTGACTGGAAGCATCAAGGCAATGAACACTGTGAAAGCGACAGAGGAAGCCTCCTCCCCCGCCTCCCCAGCAGCGCGTCTCTGAGCGTGGCCTCAGCCACCGGAGCGGAATCCTCCATGTGCCTCCTGCGCACAAGTGGGGCGCGGCTAAAACCGCAGTACCTGCGGTCCCCGTCTCCCGGGGCTGCTGTGACCAAGGGCCACCGGCCAAGGGGCGGAAACAGCACGCACGTCTTGTCTCGCGGCTTCCGTGGGTCTGGAGTCCCAGTGTGGTGCCCCCAGCACAGCGGCCAGAGCCCCTGGCCGGGCTGCTGTCAGGCTGTGGGCCAGGCCGCGGTCTCGTCTGAGGGCTGGACGGGGGCAGCAAGGGGGGCTTTGCCTCCCAGCTCACACACGTGCTTGTGGGCCAGCCCCAGGTCCCCGGCACGGGGCTCCTCCCAGGACGCCCCAGGCCAGGGCGGCTAGCTTCCGTCGGAGAGGGCAATCCTGGCGGTGAGGGCGAGTGACCCCCCCGGAAGTGAATCTCAGGAAAGGCGCCCCGTCACCTCTGCT